GAATGATTCTTGCTGTTAGGATTTGTTCCCTCTTTTGAGCTACTGCTTCCATAGGTGTAGGTCAAGTTCATCAAATTGTATGAGAATACTTTTTTTTTTTTCTTTTTTTCCATTATCATTTAATTTCATTTTTCCACGAGCTGTTTAAAGCCCCCTTGCATTTATAGTTAGTTGACAAAACTCACTTCTCAGACTTTTCCCACTTATCTTACCAAGGTGGATCTCCCCATAAAGTATAAAGATACCGGAGATGAGAGTGCTGCAACCCTGGTGCTGGTGGATCTTGCTTCCTCTAATTGAATGCCTTCCTACTAGCCAGAAATGGTGCAAACCTTTGATATGTATTCACTAGTTCTTACTACCCTGTGGGATAGGTCCTACCTACTGTTGTACCATTTTACACTGTCACTTACACAGCTAAGTGACAATGGTAGAATTAGGACTGATTTGAATGTATGGCTTAACTTCTGTGGGACTATAAGGACCATCCACTACTAATTTAGAATCATTGTTGTTAGGTGCCATCGAGTCAGAACTGACTCATAGCAACCCCATGCACAGCAGAATGAAACATCCTCAATCCCGGGCCAACCTCACTACTGCTGCCACACTTGAGTCCATTGATGCTGCCTCCTGGCCAGTCCATCTCGTTGGGGGTCTTCCTCTTTTTCTCTGATCCTCCATCTTACCAAGCATGATATCCTTCTTCAGTGACTGTTCCCTCCTGACAGTATGTCTAAAGTATGAGAGATGAATTTGGCCATCTTGGCCTTTTAAGGAGCAATCTGGCTGCACTTCTTCCATTTAGAATCATTAATTATCTTTAAATATGATAGAGCTGGAATCCCTTTAACAAATTCTGTTTAGTCAGCCTAACTGACTTGTTAAGCAAAAGAATTCACCAGCTGTGCCTCTTAAACACTATACAGGGTTGCTATGAGTCAGTATCAACTTGACAGCACATAACAACAACAAAATATATAATTGGGAGTCCACAAGGTTGGCTATTCAAACCTACCAGCCACTCCTTGGAAACCCTATGCAGGGTCGCTATGAGTCGAAACGGACTTGACAGCACCTAACATAGTTGGAATAAGGAGCCTTGGTGGCATTGTGGGATAAGCATTAGGATGCTAACCACAAGGTCAGCAGCAATTCTGCTCTCATAAAGATTCATAGTCTTGGAAACTCTATATAGGATCACTGTTGTTGTTAAGTACTGTTGAGTCAGTTCTGAACCATAGCTACCCTGTATAGGGTTTCCGAGGAGTGGCTGGTGGGTTTGAATAGCCAACCTTGTGGACTCCCAGTTATATTATTTTGTTGTTGTTAAGTGCTGTCAAGTCGATACTGAGCTTGAACTTCTGACTTTGCTGTTTAATCAACTTTGCAGTCCAGCTCATTAACCCACAGCACCACACCACGAGTCCAGGTAGGGTCATTATGAGTTGAAATTGGCAAGAGGGCAGTTGGATAGTTGGAATATGTGATTCCTGGAAGGCAATGTTAGAAGGTGATGTCCAGCACAGAGTGTCCAGACGATAGGATAGGATAGGATAGGGTATGAGAGGAGTCTAGAGGGCCCAGTGTGGTTATAAGAGTATAGCAGATGTTTTCCTGTCTGGGTGTTTTTTTGTTTGTTTTTTTTTGCTTTATACTTGAGTTTATTCTTCATTTAACTTTAAAACACTACTATAGTTGAGTATTAAAACAAAAACAAAATAAAGTAGTGAGCATATTAAGATTACAGTCCTTCATTTACTCATTGTTGTTGTTGTCATGTGCCATCGAGTCAGAACCGACTCATAGCGACCCCATGCACAGCAGAACGAAACAATGTTCGATCCTGGGCCAACCCCACTACCGCTGCCACACTTGAGTCCATCAATGATGCCACCTGGCTGATCCATCTTATTGGGGGTCTTCCTCTTTTTCTCTGACCCTCCACCCTAC